TGTTTTGGTGTCAGAATATCTGTGTATCTTCCTGGGGGTTAGGCAGGGTTTCGACAATAGATTCACTGATCTCTAACCAACTGGGTGTTTCAATTTTCTCTTATTTGCCAATATTCTTCTTCTCTCATTACTAGTATCATAAATTAGATAATATTTTCCATCCAATTAATCCCACTGATATTGTTGTTCAATGGATAACTAGAATGCCCAGGAGATGTTCTCCTTGACATGACAATAAGAATTTTCCTAAAGAGAAAGAGGCCACCACCAGATCCTTTTTCATAATCCCAGCCAGATGCTTAACAAAAGCACATGGGACATGAAAGTGACAGCTCTCTGTCTTGTTATAAATCTCCTGATATGGGAGGTAAAGTAATCACCATTGATTTAGTACCGTCAGTGGCCTTATTCTTAACTTGGCAGTGTCATTCTTGATCTACCAATCTGAACCATTTTTTTTCCCCAGTACTTCTAATTAAGAGAGAATTCTTTACCTGTTTGAGCACATCCCCGATGATCTCCTGGTAAACTTCTTCAATGGCCATGCTAATGGCTTCACGCTCAATTCCACGTAGTAATCGGCCTGAATTTACCAAATCAAGAAATTGCCAAACTGTCAAACTGTTCTGTTGCGGGGTCTCTTGGGAAAGATAGTCATCTAATTCCCCATTATTAAGTTCAATGCTCATAGCTGTACAGATCTTCTTCAAGAGGTATTCCACCTGAAAAAATGGGTGATATCAGCAGGGTAAAACAACAACCAAACATCCCACCTCTGGAACAGTATAGTCCTTTTACATTCATGTAGATTTTCTTCTCACTCAAGGGTATGAGATGTGGGCAGGCCAATGTGGTATAGTAGTTAAGTTGCTGGAGTGGCAAGAGGGAAACCAGGTTCAACTTCACTCTCAACAACTGAAGTTGACTGGGTGTCAACTATCAAGCCCAAAGTAACAGTAATAGCAGCACATGGCCAAGAAAGCAAGATTCGCAAAGAATCTCATTAATAGGCTTAGAAAATGGGTTAGGTTACAGAATTCTGAAAATTAGATAAGTATACTCCAGCCGCATTTATTAGTGAGGACAGGTAGTCCTCACTTAATGATCATTCATTCAGTGACCATTCAAAGTTACAACAGCACTGAATGAATAGTACTTACAACCAGTCCTCAAAGTTACAGCTGTTGCAGCACCTGTAGTTGCATGATCAAACTTTGGGTGCTTGGCATTTATGACCCCAGGGTGTGCTTGAACTCTCCCCACTTGCCTATTTCCCCCCATCTCTGCCCTTTTGGCTGCCCTGCACTCCGTTGCCCCCACCACCCTGCACTCTACCCTGTACTCTGTACGCGGCCTCAGGAAGCCAGCAGCTGCCTTGTGAAGGAAGTACCAGGCTGGACATACCTCATCAGCAGTGGGAGGAAGACAGTGAAGGTCAGCTGGGGGTGGCAGGGGTGGCAGAGTGCAGGGGTGTGGAGTGCAAAGGCGGCGGAGTGCAGGGCAGCCAAAAGGGCAGAGATGGGGGGGAGATAGGCAGGTGGGGGCAGTTGAAGCAGAAGTGAGCACAGAAGGGCAGGAGAAGTGTGAGGTCCTGGTATGACAACGGCATGGTCCTGCCTAATGACTGCAACTGGGACTACAGAAACTGCTTTCGCTAAGAGGTGCGGTCATGTGATGTTTCGCCTAATGACTGCATCACTTAGCAGAAGAAACAGAAATTTCGATTCCAATTAAGGTCATTAAGTGAGAACCACCTGCACATTAAGGCAGGGTATCTATGAGCTGTCTGGCCCTCTTTCTCACAGATTCGCTAATAGATGGACTGATGCTTCAGTTAAGAGATAAGGCTAAAATGTCCATCTGGTCTTAATCTGCCATGTTTTGAAAACCACCTTTTTCTCTCCTAGACTCTAAAAATTCCCTTATAAACCAATCTACCTCACAGGGTTTTTGTTGTGTGGAAAAATGGGAGAAAGGAGCACTAATATGCTGCCTTAAGTTCCTGAACGAAAGGTGGGATATAAATCTAATAAATAAAAACATCATTCCAAAGTTTCTTCTCAGTCTAAGCTTATTTCTAACAAATTATATTACTTCAGAGAAACAATCTATTTCCCTGCCCATAATAGTTTCCTTTGGGGTAATATTTATTTCCACTGTAAGCCTCCTATTCTACATCTGGCTATGTTTGCTTAAGTGTTCTATATTCAGTGGGAGGCAGCTTATTCCAAAACTAGTTCTTCAGAATTTAGCTCCTAGACAACTAAGACTGGGAGCTTTGATCATATCACAAGTATACTATGCCACTGGCAATGGATCCATTTCTGGGCTCAATATCAAATGCTGACTATTACTTTAAAGCTGTTCACAGCTTAGATCTAAGATAGCCAAAATGCATGTCTATGTATCGATCCATCCATTCAGACTTTAAGTGCTGGGTCTCTTACAAATGAGCCACAGTTTGAGTGTGGGGTGGGGTGGGGGACAGCCTTTTCATTGGCTGCACCCTATTTATGAAATACTTTTTCCAGAGTATTGGATGCAGAACTCAAATGAGTGTAATCACACCATAATGCAAGTTTTGAAGGAACAAACATGGTTATTATATAACAAATAATATGTATACATGATGTTTTTGTGTAACTCATTTTTAAGAAGTATCTGTCTTTCGTACATTATTGTTCAAACCTTGGACACTTCCACAGTGGGTCTTTATATGCTCCCAAACAGTTCTGCAGCTCATACTTCCAGGGGAGGCATGGCAAACTGAAAACAGCTCTGCGAAAACGGAGTCAATGACCACGGCAAAGACCAAAGAACCAGTGAGTAGACCAGTTCTTCAGAACCTCTCCAGATGAGGAGAGGATGGGAGATCGCCCACATCTGCTCTAGACAGCTGCTCCTCACGAGGGGACTGCAGGATTTCCATGGGTTTGAGCACTGGGAGACAATGGAATTAGCCACCTCATTCACAACTGTGGCGGAGGCTTTTAAAGGACACTAAGTTCACAAGCCTCATTTTCCAAACAATTCAGCAGCTGTCTGTTGTCACCTATCCATTTGCAACAACAAAGTTTGGCAGAGCTTGTGGATGCTTGCTATTCAATTAGCTAGAACTCTTATACTGTATTTCCGACTCTCCACTGAACTTTTTCCTAAAGGGGAAGGTGGCTTGAAGTTTCACAAATCCCACTCTTGGCAACTGTGAAGTGTGTGTCTGTGTGTTTGGTGTCCCCACCCCCCCATGCAACCCAATAAGTGCATATCATACAGCAACTGCTCAGGTTGAGTTTGATTTTGGCAAATGGGCAAAAAAATGTATACATGTTATAGAAATGTGTGGGTGGGGTGGGGAAGCTACCAATCTAAAGTAGGTATTGTTACTTCAAGTATCTTGGAGTACAGTATCTTGGAGAAGGGCACAGACTGAATGACACATTTTGGTTACTGGAGAGAGAGCTCTGATAAGCTCAGTCAACTTCAGAATATTCTGGAGGGACTGGGGAGTAGAAATAGTGATGTGTGAAAGTGCCCTGGAGTTCAGGCTTTTTGGCCGCCTGGTATTAATCCTACCCACTGACCTAGAAATGTCACATGCAGGCTGGAAGCCAGTCCTAACAGCTAAAAAGCTAGAAAAATCCAAATCCTGCTCTTGTGGCCTTAGACCTTATGCAAGCACTAAGGAAGTCATGTGATTATTTCTCTTTTCCTCTTTTGAAGTGGCAGGTGCAACCTACAGCAGCAGACCATACAAACGGCACAAAGCTCCCTTTACTTTTGCCTGGGCTTCTTTTCCAGGCCGGGCTATGATTGGGAGAATGATTCCACGCACACCATACAAAAACACCATAGATCTACATTCTTTACAATTTGCTCCCTTTCCAAGCACTACTTGGGCTGTAACTTCTTGCCTGGTCAAATAGATCAGTGTTTGTTAATCTCAACAACTGTAAGATGTGTGGACTTCAAGTCCCAGAATTCCCTAGCCAGCATGCTGGCTGAGGAATTCTGGGAGTTGAAGTCCACATATCTTAAAGTTGCTGAGATTGAGAAATACTGAAATAGATCAGTTCTCCACATGTATACAGTATAAAAAAGCACTGAAAGAGACCAAAGAGGCCATCTAGCGCAACCCTTGCTCAATGCAGGATCCACCCTAGAGCATCTCTGACAGATGGAGATCCAGGCTCTGTTGAAAGATCTCTGTTGAAGCAGAACTCACCACTTCATGAGACAGCCTGTTCCACTGGCTAACAGCTCATACAGTCAGGAAGTTCTTCTAATGTCTGACATGTAGTTTTAACCATTGGTTCTGGTCCCACCCTCCAGGCAACAAAGTATAAATCCATTCCCTCTTCTGTGTGACAATACTTTAGATATTTTAAGAATGCTATAATATCTCCCTGTAGTTGTCTTTTTTGTAGGTTACCTGTACCCAGTTCCTTTAACTGTTCTTCATAGGACTTGGTTTCCAGACCCTTCACAATCTTGATAGCCCTCCTCTGAATTTGTCACTGTCCTTTCTGAAGTGTGGTGCCCAGAACTGAACACAGTGGGCACTTTCTTTCCCCTTCCTTTTCTCTTAAAGAAAGACTTTTGGCCCCTCCAGTCTTGACATACTAAACTAATCTCTGCACATTTTTCTTTTGTATATAATTTTTATTAAGAATTTTGATTATAATAATAAAATCTAATACAAACTAAATTTAAAGAAAGAAAATAAAATAAAGAAGAGTAAAAAGTGCAAGGAAAAAAGAAAGAAAAAAGAAAAAGGGAAAAGAATATAATAAAGAAAAAGTAGTATATAAAGAAGTGACTTCCAACCTTCATCACAACAAGTATAAACAAATTTAGTAATTCTTCACCCTCTCTAAAGTTACAAACATTTACCTCTTCATCCTATATCCTATCTCTTATCTATAAACAAATCCATAAAACTTCATTTTTTTCAGTCCTGGTATCAGCAGAAAGTCCAAAAAGGATAGCCAGAAGTAACAATATATCTTATTTTAACCTTGATCAATAAACCAACTTTATATTCTTTCTTTTCACTTCTAACAGTCTTAATCTTTAGTTTATTCAAATATTGTCGTGGGAATTGATTTCTCTTCATTTCTTCTTTGTCCCATTGCATAAAGTTCTTCAAGGCTTTTTCCAGTAGGAAAAAATTATCCAGGTCACTCTCTTGGGTTTGTCATTTGTATTTCTCTTTTAAATTTTAAAATCTCAATCAGTTTCTTTTGCAGATCCAGTAAAACATCCTTTTCTAAACCATTATCTTGGCCTGTCAGTTGTAAATCCATCTTCAATACCATCTCTATCTTATCAGATAAAATTTGTTCTACATCTGACATCTCCATAGAAGCAGACATCATTACTGACATTGTTGATATTGTGGCTACTATTTTCTGATTCCATTCTTCAAAAGTCTCCTTCAGTATTTTTACTGTCATAACCATCTTGCAGGCCGGTATATCTTTCCTCTACCTAAAATCTTTAGCCCCTTCGAGTGTCCAGTTTTTGAAATCATGAAATTATTTATCTGCCTTGTGTCTTGTAAAAACCAAAACAAGATCTATTTCCCATGAGAAGATGTTTGTACTTTATAATTAATTCCAAAAT